GCGGCCCGGCGATGGTGCGGAAGTCCATCGGCTCCTCGACGATGTCCAGGTAGTCGGGCACCTCGCCCACCGGCACCGGCTCCTGGAACCAGTACGCGTCGTCGCGCAAGCCGAGCAGCTTGAGCGCCGCGCCGCAGCGCGCCATCTTGTCGCCCGTCACGAGCGCCTGCTCCGCCGCCTTTTGCGCCTTGCGCACGCGATTCTTGATCGCCTTGGGGTTCTGCTCCCGCTCGTACTCCTCGATCGCCTCGTCGTAGTTGTCCTTTGCCTGCGGGAGAGGGCGGGCGGCGGTGAGCGACCGAGGCCCGCGCGCGGTCGGCAGCGTGGCAGCGGCACTGGAGGGCGCGCGCGCGCCTTCTTGGGCGTGCGCACGCGTAGGCCGGACATCCGGCGGCGACGCGGAAGACCTGCAGCAGCCCGCGGCCGAGCTTGGTCCACTTGCCGACGACAGCAAGCAGGGTTAGCACCGGAAGCGGAGGAAGAATTCAACAAATCAAATTTCTCGGAGGAAGAAACTTGATGTTTTACTTTGATGGAAGTTTTTTCTCCTGGCCTGACTTTGTATATGGCGCTCGCTCACGCTGCGCTGTGCTCGCTCAGCGTGGCCTTCTCGCCGTCGCACTTTCCCCAGGCGAGCCGCCCGCATCCGCGGAGGACCATCTTGCGATTCGAAAAATGAAAGCCCTACTATCGAAGCAATATCGTACGACAAGGGTCGATCCTCTTCACAGCTACCTGGCTACGAACAGGATACTCGAGTACTCGCCCAGCTGCGGACCTGGAACAGCGCGAAATTTACGCCGAGAGGAACGACATGGCGCTCTCCGTCGTGCTCGCCGCCGTTGCTGTCGCGACTCCCAGAGCCGCGCTCCTCGACGCAACCGCTGCCTCCTTTGCCCGCACGCCCGCTGCGTCCTTTGCCCGCACGCCGGGCTCGAGCACGGCGCCGCTGGCCAGGTGCAGAGCCGCTGCTGCCGCTCCGCCGCGAGCGGCGGCGCGCATGTCGGGAGAGCCGCCGGCGGTGGAGCGTGTGTTTGCGACGCTGCCGTACGTGCTTCCCTTCCTGGACGGGTTCCAGTACGGGCTGTACGTCTTCAACAACGTGCCCGGCGGCGTCAGCTTTGCGGAGGCGGTGCTGCCGCTCGTGGTCGCCTTCAACTCGCTGCCCTTCTCCGGCATCATCTTCTTCATCGGGCTCTCCTTCTTCACGCGCCCCGACTCGGGCCTCTCGCGCTTCGTGCGCTTCAACATCCAGCAGGCCCTCGTCCTCGACATCCTGCTCATCATCCCGTCGCTCTTCTCGGGCGCCGCCGGGATGGTCCCTTCTTCCGTCGCCATCCTCGGCTCAAACTTTGTCTTTTACACGATGGCGCTGGTCGTCACCTACGCGCTCTACTCGAACGCGCGCGGCGAACTGCCCGACCAGGTGCCTGTCATCTCCGAGGCGGCGGGCTTGCAAATCGGCCCGTTTTAAGCGCGTAGTCCAGGCTCGTGGGCGTGCCGCCGTGCGGGTCGGAGCCGGGGTGGGACATTGATGTTCGAGACTCAG